GGGGTATATATATATATATATATATATATATATATATATTCAGCATTCCTGGCGGGCATCAAGCCTGGTGACGTCATTATGCATAAGGTCTATTGCAAATACATAGCGTGGTGGCAGTTACCGGTTTTTGGCTGAGTTGGTGTGAGGTATACACTCTGTGGCTCTATTGTCTAAATTAGAAGTTTTTCTTTGTCCCTTTGTTCCCCAAACAAATTTCATTATTTTCTTTTTTTGGCATTGTTCCGTTGTTCCAATTGCAAAATATGCATAGTTCCCTTGAACAATGCATATCGGCCCCGGGGACCCTCCTTTATGACTTCACTATATATATATATATATATAGTACAATCTGCAGACATGCATATATATATGCATATATATATGCATATATATATATATATATATATATATATATATATATATATATATATATATATATATATATATATATATATATATATATATATATATACATATATATTGTAAATTTTATTTAAGGCCATTTGGTAGTCTGAGAATACTTTTCCAGGTGAAAATGTATATTTACCCTCATCAATTACCTGGTCGAGGTGGCCCACATCCTTTCTGCCTTAACTGTTCCAGACCTTCATTTGAACCTAATTGTTTTGTAGCTTTTGTGATTTCTTTTTCTGGATCAAGCAAAAATAACCTGACAGAAAGCTTAGTGTTTGTTCGCACTCGTTTCCTCGTGTTTGGTGAAAGATAATTGGCCATTGCTGTGATACGAAGGTCACATATTTGATGACAGAATTTAGTTGCTCAACACATGTTGGCTAAACTAGACGGAAACACGAAGATTAAATATGTGATGCAAAGGTTTAATTCCTCCAATTAATATCTTCGGGCCCTCTTGCCTAATAAAAATAACAAAAATACAAAATAATTAACCAGGCTATTGCTTCGCATGAAAAAAATAGCAAATAAGGTCATTGAAAGTAGAATTCAAGGACTTTTTCAGGCCTGCCAAGGGCATTTTGACTAAAAAAATCGTCATGAAAACTGGCATAATTTTACTTTTTGAGACAACCGAATATGAAGTTTTTAATCATTATATTAACAACATTTCCATATTCCTTGCCATTTATATTAGTGTCGTCAACCGTTAATTTGAAAACTCGCATAACTCTCTCCTCATTTCCCAACCATATAACAACAGAGATTCATGAAAATGCAACTCACTTGTAACTTGTTACATTTGACGGAAAAGAGTTATGCTTAACTGTCCCATGGTAGTTGAAAGGTAACATCAGAAGAGTTGAGAAATTGGGTGTGGTCACTGAAAAAGGTAAGCGTGGCTCAAGTTTAACTCTTCAAAATCTTAACTATTCGTCTTAACTCTCCCTTCTCCCTGTTATTACTCTCTATTTAGTCAAATCCAATATTCGTAATCGGTAACAACGTGCAGATCGGAAGGCTTTGTTTGCATGGCGTCGTCAGCACCATGTTTAAACTATCACCAGCAAAGTATTATCAATACAACTTGGAGGAAGTTCCAGAATTTTCAAGGCCTGTGGGAAGCCTTTGTAATAGCTTTAAATGCTATAGCCGGTGAATTACCCATTGAGTTGCATTGCATCCTACTGCATCCTACTTTTAATATTAATTTACTTTGTCTAATAGCAGAAAATTTTACTCATCAAGGGAAGAGTGCTGGCACTCAATGGGTTAATCATACTATCTGCCTGTCATGGTTTATTCAAACCTTATTTAAACATTAGCTTCATTATATTTCCAGCGTTACTAATTGACGTCATTATGTTTTGATAATAAATTCATTATGCATATTTAATTAGCTTCCTTGTTAGGGATCGGTCATTAATTACAGGGGAGGGGGGCTGGTGGAAAAGGTGAAGGGGGGGTCAGATATTTTTGTGCATGAAAAAAGGGGGGGGGGATTTTTGTGCAATATAAATACCAGCCCCGCATGACCCCATTGTACCATAAAACCTACAGATAAAAATAGAGAGAAGTAGAACTGTAGTAAACTGATTTCAACCGATAAACATGTACATTGGAACAGCCTTTGACTCAAAAGATGGTAAAGAATATATAAATTACAATACATGTATATATTGAGCATAGGTGCCAACTCTCCCAGATCCACCACAAGCATCACAGACTTTACTAAAACCTCATGGTGAGCTCACAGCTTGTTAATATCTCACAGATTTCGAAAATAACCCAACTGGTTCTTAAATCTGTTGGCTTTGTTGCACATTTTAACTATTAAGAGTGACTCCATTTGCATCAACTTACATAAAACTTTTTTCTTCTGAAAAAATTCACACCATTAAACCAAAAATAGATAATGAAAACATCATTTCATGCAACCTCGTACTTGTGGATATTCAACAACATGGTTTTGTACATCTAAAGAAAAGCTACCAAAATTTGTGTGTATAAGGTATAGAAGACTCTGAAAATACCATTTCCAATGATCTAGAGACTCCATATTTTCAAAATTTTCTGCTCGGCGCCAACTATGGTGTACTGGCCCCTCGTGGGTCCCCAAAGCAAAATCTCACGGATGTTTTTTTCCCAATGTTGGCAACTATGATAATATAGTATGATTAAATGTGGCTTCACTTTATAAGAACTTTAAAGTAGGAATGTGCCTTTTGTTATTTGCATGGGGGTGGGGTCAAGTATAATTGTGTTATCCTCAAGGGGGGTGGGCCAACAAAATTTTAGCATCTAAGTTTTCATTTCCCCCAGTCCCCCCCCCCCCTCCCTTGTAACTAATGACCGGTCCCTTATTACACCAGACTTCACCAAGTTGTTTTTGTCATTATCGTTAAACAGTCGTCAGAGTTAGACCATTATCACTCTACTATTGAACTATCTTGGATATAGACTTGGGACAGACAACTTAGACTTTTTACAGACTTTCTATAATCAAATATGTAACCAAAACAATACCACTGTTTCTAAAATAAAATTATTTTAATTTAAAACTTCAGCATGCCAGAGTCTGGGGACTAGATTTGACTTAAATGTTCCAAATAAAAAGTGAGAAAAATATTTACTTCATTTTGCAAACAACCAAGATACTACGGGCAGATATAGATAATTTTTAATGAGATCCTATTAGGGTAAATTCCGACAGGCGACATGGCGTTGAAACGGCGACATGGGAGAGCTGAAATGGCAACAAGCGAAACCAATTTTGGTTAAAATTGTTATTCCTAACATGCGACACCAACACTGCGTTATTTGTAGCTATTTGTACCTTTGACACCTTTCCACGCGTAAGAAATTATATTGAAAACAGTTTTGTAAAATCGTAAAACGCATGTTACGCATCGAAGACATCGAAAATGTTTCTGTGATTGATGACATTGATCAGCAGTCATCATAAAAACACAGACCGGTATACTATATATAAGTCGGTGTGAAAACACCACAACAATGTCAACAAAATGTTTAAAAATGACAAAATGTCATTGGCAAAGTACAGTTTTCAGGCGTTAGTAAGCGTAGAGTAAATTATGTTTCCTAACACTACATGTCTCGCC